GTAGTCGTCGTGGTCGTAGTCGTCGTCGTAGCCGCAGCAGTGGCAGTAGCAGCAGTAGCAGGCAGTGGCAGTAGCAGCAGTAGCAGTGTATCCCGACAACTCCTCCAACTGCCGTTTTGATGCCTGCAGCGTATGCTCGCGACAATACAATAGCTGGAATCTAAGAAGTGAGACGACTTCTCCGCATACTCAGCAACTCTCAACGAGCCAGTGGCGCTGGCCGCCCGCCGGCCGGACTCTGCAATAGAAGCACTCCCAGACTGACTTCCAGAACTAGGCTGCAGTGTTCCGAATTCCGAGCGCTCCCCGGGAATTCTTTCAGCTTCGTGCTTCCCAGCTTGCCACAACCTGTGCTGGAAGTCTGGCACGCGCTCTCACGACGAGGAAGAAGTACGCGTTGAACGCGTTCATGACCTGCTGACGTGGAGTGTGGAAGCGGAAAGTCTGACAGTGCGTAGTTGATGGCATTGTCTGTGCTTGTGCTGAGCCCAATACGGCCATGGACCAGAAGTAGAGCTGCATCCAATCGGTCCTGCGAAAAACGGAACCACTGAGAGACAGACTGTCTGGAAAGTGTGGTTCAGGCACATAGCTAGAAACTCCTCACACGGGACGGATGCCTGCCTCGAAAAGGGATTGGTGTTAGCTGTTTGCAGCTGCCTCAGTTCGAGCGCAACAATAAACGTCGGCAAGGTCAGCTACCTTGTGCACCTTGCACTGCCTTGCACAGTTGAGCTTCATTCTGGAGAAGAAGCCTCCCTTCACCGACAGCTCGCGCCACACGATGATCACGGTGTCCTTAGGCAGAGCGGGCCACAAGTGGCAGCAACCTCTGGGCTGAACGGCTCAGACGACGGCAATCACTGGAAGGATGACTCTGAGGACCAGGTACACCAATGTGAGACGCCTCGGTAAAAAAGCTCATGAGATACGGCATTCGAGAGCTCGCAGGCCATGCTGCAGATCTCTTTCGTTGCAGGCACGCTTCTTGTAGATGTTGGACGCCGACAAATGCGAGAAGCGCAGCAGAAATTTGCACATCCCCAAGATGGCGCCCGACGCATCGATGCAGATGCAAAGTTGGCACAGCACCCGGAAGTCCACATCCGTCTGCGTCGAACACAACACGCAGATCGGGCTGACCAGGTGATGGATCAGCGTCTCTGGCTCCATCCTCCAAGAATGCACCAAAAGAAAAACAAAACGCCTCTGACTGTCTCTTGTGTCGCCTCTTTCCGTCCGCTGGAGCAGGACGTTTTCTTTTGGGGGGGACCTCTTTTCCTTCAGCTATCCACGTCTGGAATTCCTAAAAGGGTTTAGGGTTTAGGAAGTTGCCAAGGGCGCTCCTCTGGAAGCCAAGGCTAAAACTGTCGAAGATCTCGTAAGAAACTTCCAGACAGAACGCGTGCAGAGCGAGCGATGGGGCGCCAAAGACCCACGCGAGAAGTGCCAAAGTGGCGACCACTCCATTGTGAACCACCTCAAGGAAAGAATAGAAGACAGGGGCTCACAGCAGATTCTCTGATAGACATGTGCAGAAACACGAAGTCAAGGCGAGCCACAATGAAGAGAAGCTCCGGCCCGGTTCTCTTCCGCAGGAGCTTCCGCTTCTCTGTGGAGGAACCCTCTTCGGCGGCTTCGTGCCCAAGCGAGATTTCCTCAAGGAGGGGTGAAGATCACACGCCTTTACAGGAAACAGAAACCCTTCGCAACCGTCTTTACGCGAACGAGGGCTACGGCTGTGGCAGCCCAGAAGCCTTGCCGGGAAGAGGCTCCTTAGCACCCACATCCTCTCTCTGCAGACAAGAGGGCGGATGCTGCCAGGGAACCTCCCAAACTTCGTCCCGGAGCTCTAGCCTTGGGGCTAATCTGTGGAGGAGCCTCACCAGCAGAAGTGGTGACGACCTCGCAGGGAGCTCAGCCCGATATTTCACCGGAGATCCTCTGAGACCTTTCCTCGTGAGGAAGTAGCCCGCAGAGGAGCAGATCAAGGTTGCCACGAACAGTGAGAACGCGATGTCCTCACACGCTTTTTTTTCGACGGGTCTGTATGCCCCAAGATAGAAACATGCAGCCTCATGACCTAATGCACGCGACCCTCACGGCTCCTCCACCGCAAGGGGTCCGAATGGCTGCCTCTCCGGAAAGATGGGCACCAGAATCCGCAGCGGGGACCTGGTTCTGAGAAACTCAAACCTCCCGAGTGCATGAGCTACAAGGCCACGAGGGTCTTGCAGGACGATCTCCATTGCAGCTGGGAACTAGTTTGGGTTTTGCCAGGCTAGCCTGATTCCTGCTGACTGCAATGGCATGACCTTGGAGTGCTGTAAGAGCTCATGCCCCAAGCCGTAGTTTAACATGCCTACGTCGGTCGAAGTGCTGTTGAACAAGTGCTGCCATAAAAAAAAATACGGCTCTGCTATGGCAGCCATGGTCTCCACTACTGCCACGTTTTCTTGGGTGTGATTCATTCAGGCATGCAGCATGGAAGCGTGTGAAGGCAACGATTGCATCATGCCGCTCTTTCGTTACACGGCCCGCCTTTTGCATTTCACTTGCGGGACGTGGCACCCCTGTCTTGATGCAGCCGCGATTTGGCATCTGCTTCACCAAAGCGGAATTGGGCTCAGCATGAATTGGGTGAAAGCACCAGGCGGCGTTGCCCATATCCTGGCCTGATTTGACTGCGATACTCCTAAACACTCTTTACACCTCGACTGGAGTTCACTGGCACTGGAAATGGGAGCCGGACTGCAGTGGACATTCGCTAGGGTAAACATCCCCCATCTCTCAGTTGGGGGTTCGGTTCCAGGTACTCGGCTCAGAAGCCGATCCTGTGACGTGGTGCCTTCTGGGTAGCTTCCGGCTCGTCCTCGTTGCAGCGCACGAGCTCGATCTTCGCCTTCCCACTCTCGGCTTGTCCATGCGAGGAGAAGCTGATGCCGCTCGAAGCGTTCTTCTTCATCGGGGACATCTCCGCACGCGTCGGGTAGGGATAGTCCCAAGGCTTTTGGAGAAAGCTCCGGAGCTCCTCATAGTCCCCATCACTATGAGCCCCTATGCCACCCATCTGGTCCAGTAGGCCACAGTCGCGGTAAGTCTCGTCATACCGGGCCACCTTGCAGTAGCGCAGTACCATGGCTGCCTGAAGGCTCGCCTCACTGCGGAAGTTGGCACGCTCGTCATCCACCAAAACGATGTTCTCAAGACGGAGATTGCTGAGGATAAGAGAGGTGACGCTCTCAGCTCCTCCTAGTTGTGGGAACCAGCGCAGTGGGTGTTCTGCGACGTGGGTCAACACGTCTGCCTTGTGCCTGTGGCATTCTGAGCACGGCGTCTGAAAGAGGTGCCATCGCCCGCTCTCCCAGAAGGCGCCATCACACTCGCCAGACTGAGTCGGCGACATGGACCAAACGGCACTGAAATGCTCGGCCAAACCAGCAAGCTTCAGCAAGTTCAGCACCGCCACAACCCCACTTGCATTTTGGGTGAGAATGGTCAACACACGCTGCTCCTGCACGATATCCTCAAACATCGACTTGAGCTTCTGCACCCTTCCTTCACACCACGGGGAATCAAAGTTATACTTCACAAGATCTTCTTGGCTCCAGTCTTTGAAAGCTGCCTCTGCCGGAGTCCAGCCGACCTTGGTTGCAATGGCCTTACTCTGGGGCATGAAGGTGGCCAACGTCAGCGTCTCATCGAAGTCAAAAACGACGAGCTTCACTGGCGGTTGACTCTCCCAGCCCCGAAAATCCCGCTCCTGGCAGCGGATTTGGAGGGTCTCCTTGCACATCCAGGGGTCCTCCACGAAGCGCTTCAGCGTGTCATAGTCCGCATCATGGTGGGCACCAATACCCCCCATGTTCTTGACCATGCGCATGTCGTAGTAGAGATCTGCATCATACCGTGCAACCTTGCAGTAGCGCAGTATGCTGGCACCAAACTGACTTTGGAAGTTGGCGCGCTGGTCGTCAACCAGCACGATGTTTCCCATCTGCAAGTTTTCGATGGCCGCGAAGCTGCTGTCCTGGCCGATCTGCGGAAACCAAGCATCGGGATACTTCGTCACATGTGTCAACACATCCGCCTTGTGGTTTCGCACCTTGTCCGATGGAGGGTCAAAAAGCTTCCACTCACCCTTCTGGTCTTTGTAGGCCCCATTAGGCATGTACTGTCGCCAAGGCATTGTCCACACGCAGCTGAAGAAGGAATCCAAACCAGCAATCTTCAGCATGTTGATCACCGCCTGCACACCCTTGCCATTGTTGGTAAGGACGGTCAGGAATCGACGCCGTCCGTCGGCACCTTCCTTGATTGCCTGGAGCATCTTCTGAAGCTTGACGATTCGGGAGCCCTCGACCCAGGGTGTTTCAAAGTTGATCACTCTGGCAATGTCCTTCTCCTGACACAAGCATCCAGCTCTCGGCACATAGAGAATCTCTCAAAAGCGGGTGGAGACAGCACCGTAAAGCTATCTGTTAGAGTACGAATCGTCGTGTGGCTCTCACACACCAATATCTCCACGAACAAACCGAATTCTACCTTTAAGATGTCCGCTGCGGCAAAGCACAGGGCATATGGAAGCGCCAACGGGGAAACATGCAACTTGCAAGGGCACATGCTCAAGGCAGAATGTCGGGGCCTCGTCATCTGCGTACTCACAGTTGCCGGTCATGAAGGTCGCCAGGGTCAGGGTCTCATCGAAGTCAAAAACGACCAATTTTACAGGGCAGTCCTGCCGAGTCTCGTGGTCACATGGTGGGCTCTGACATGACATGCCCGCTGCCCCCACCTTGCTGAGCTCGCTCGGAGTGATCCGCTCCGCACAGCGCAGCCGAAATGTTGCTCGAAGGCTTGCCCGTTCCATTGGCCGGGAACGGCTCGCAGACGCAGCCACCACACGGCGACCGCCAGACCTCAGACCGAAACCATCTCCATGCAGAGAAGCTCTGAGCGCACGTGCTGCAACTTGTGCGCCAAGGCACCCCTCTTCGATACCACTGCCACAAATCCACCCGTGAAACGTTTCTTTGACGCTGCCAGCCTGGCCCATCGCTCTCAGCTAGCAGCTCCTGCTGCCTACCATGGCTGTAGAGAGCCAAAAGCCACGGCGGCACAACTACGATCCTGACTGTGGCGATTCGCGGCAACCAAGGGAGAGCAGAGGCAGCTCTCCGGTGGTGTTGGAGATTTAGACTCCCAGCAGTTAAGCGGAGATGGAAACAGAAGCTCGGCATCACCAAGAACGAGCCTGCTGATCTGCAATTCGAAGGAGCTCTTCATGTTCCCGGCTGAGCTCCCAAACCTCGTAAATCGACCAGCGTAGAGCCCATGCACAGGAACAGAAAGGGCTCATGCTGGGTATTCAGACAGCACGGTCCAGGACGGCTCTGGGAATGTGTGGCTTTCCGACCTCCAGCGGTTTCACCTGCATCACAGAACACTTTCAAGCTGATCGAAAACTACGAGTTTATACCTTCGGGGTTTTGAAGCTTTGGAATTCCTCCGGCCCCAAAGGCCGGAGATGATCTGCGAACAGCACAGCATCGAAAACACCCATGAGAGCGCGAGATCAGCATGTCCAATGTTGTTCTTCGCGCAAGGGATCGTAACAAAGCACAACATGCTGTGTAGGAACATCAAACGGAGCCTCGCTAGCCAACAATGCCAGCAACGGGTCAAGGCTCTTGTCCGTGAGCCAAAGGCAAGGATCCCTGCCAAGGCGAGAGATCCCAGCTTCTGCTCTGACTTCAAAAGCTACTCTCAGGTCCCGGCTATAAGGAATTCAGTGAATCTCTCTCTATTGAGGACCCGGCTCCATGGTAGCATCACATGCTGCCAAGCTGGACCCCCCTTCCGTGCTCATCTCGTCCGTGCAGATGCCGACGGGATCCTTCAGCTGCTCGACCTTCGGCTGGCTGCCTTGAACATCTCCAGAGGGGCGAACAAGATCTCGCACCGGGCTGAAACCTTCCTTTGCTCTGGTGCCGGGATCGTCTGGCGTTCGTGCACTTCCCGGATCGGCATGCTGCTTGGTATCGGTGTCCACCGCCATCTCAGTTAGTATGGCATTCAGATGCCTCAGCGATCTCTGGCTTGTGATCTCCTCCGCCACGCTGACGCTGGATGCAATAGAGGCATCTCTCTGGGTCTCTGCACAAACCTGCGTCAAGTGACGAGTGAGTGTAGCCCTCTTGCCAAATGCAACGTAATGTACAAGCAACCCTACGGTGGCTGGAGTGCAGCTGTGTTGCTTCCGGCTGAGGAACTGGATCGGGCTCAGGAGGGCTAGGCTCTGCCGGCTCATACTCGGCGTCGGAGAGGCCCAGAGCTTCTAGAATGATCCGCTGCCTGGAGGCTTCGGATACCTCTGAGGTTGAAGTTGAGCTGGACCTGCAGGCTTCACAAGACTTGGCGTAAAGCGCTTTGCTGGCTTTGCTGCCGGTGCGCCTGGATGGCATCCTCAGAAGGGGACGGAATCCCAACAACTTCCCTCTAGCTGCCGAATGGCTGCAGCGGCGACTCATCTAGCAACGCAGGCTCTGATGTTCGACCAGCGCATCCGATGCAACCACTGCGCGACTCTTTGCTGTCAGCATTCGTGGCTTCAGCCAGTGGATGCTTCTCTCGTGAGACACTCCAGACCATGCACTGGAGCCCCGTGGCCCATGACGTTTGCCACGGACTCAGAAGTCGCTTCGCGTCTTCCATAAAATGCCGCTGTTATCCTGCGCGCTTGGTGCGACTGAAAATTCACATCAGCTGGCGCACTGCCCAGCTGATGAGATGCATTGGATGCGGCGAAAGAGCTGCAAAGGATCTGCGTTAACCAAAGCAGAGCCAGTAGCTGCTTCACAAGGGTACAGAGGGCCCTCGCAGCCTGGATGCTACAGCATGAAACCCCGAAGGGCAAAACGATGATATGAAAAACCTGCTAGCTGTGAGCTGGGCTTTGCTGTTCACGCGGTTCTCGTGCAGCTGCAACGCAGGTATCGGTAGGAGGTACCTCCACATCCCGCTAGCAGCACAACAACGCGTTCGTGGTCCTCGTTGAAACATGAACTCTCCGCTTGAGACACCAAAACTTCTGCAAACCCATTCTGGCCACCTAGGCCTAGGCGCACGTCATTTTCCGGCAGAGGAAGCAAAGGGGCTGCAGCCGTTCATGTTGTAAAACCTGAGCTTAACTCAAGGGATCCAAGGGGAGAGAGAGAGAGAGAAAGAGGGAGAGAGATGCATACATACATACATACATACATACATACATACATACATACATAGGTACATAGATGCATACATACATACATACACGCGTACATACATACATACATACATACATACATACATACATACATACATACATATGTATATGTATATATGCATATGTACATGTATATGAATATAGATATAGATATATATATATATATATGGGCTGCGTGGTATCCCCCCACCCCTATTGTTTTGCTAAAAGCCTGAACTTCAACAAGTTTGCGACCTCAGGTCTAACTTATAAACCCAGCGAAAGTTTATAAACCCAGACACAAAGTTTATAAACCCTTGATGTCC